TTCTGGCCACCTGGGGCACTGCATTCCCAACCCACAGCTCCCTGTTTCTGTGACAGGAGAGAAGCTGATGTCCAAGAAAGGTGGGGACTGTTGGCTCCCACAGGGTAGGATGTAGGGAGTGGGTGACGGGTCTGAGGGGAGAAGACCATCTAGCCATATGGGGATTTGCACGCCCCAGGTCTGGTACCGAGGACCAGCCTGTCGCCAGCTGGACCACTGCATGAACTCTTTTCAAAACCCAAGAGGTCGCTGTCTTGCCTCCTTAGAACTCCTCTTAAATGACTTGAGTTTCAAGAAACAGGATCTCACTCAGTTGGCTTTGATTATGAGCCTTATTTCCATGCGTGGGCATGGCTGTAAAGACAACCGGGCTCCCGTGGGGACTCAAGTGGTATGCAAGGCTCCACCAAGGCCACAGGGGGCACAACAGCCGGAACCATAGAGTACTAGCGTGCCCTCTGCCCATGTCTCCTCCATGGCACACCATCATGGAGGCCACCTCCCCCCGCCCCCGTGCTGTGGCTAGAACACCTGTCACCCTCTGCCACCCCGCGACTTCTGCTGCATCAGGCCCCCTGCCGCCTCCGTGGCCCTGCCTACCAGCCTACTCTCTGTTTCTCTTTCTGTCCCCGAACCTCTCACCCCTCTCCTTATGGCCCCCAGTTCAAATTCCTGCTTTTCTAGAGCTTTCCTGCAATGGTACTTGCCCACAGCTGGTTCAGGTCGCCACAGACAGATGGCCACGGTCGCATGCTGTTGCACTGCTTCTGATGAAGGCACGTCCCTTAGCAGAGGGCTTTAGGCTGGCTCCATGACCCCCGAGTGCCCCCACCCCGCAGCCTCTGGCTTCTCCGAGAAGGGAGCTGTAGGCATTGATGGCATGAGGAGGCCCATCCAGCCCAGGTAGGGATCTGGTTTTGGGACACAGATGATGAACAGGGGGCGTCTTAAAGGTCATCAAGCCCAAAGTCCCTGTAGGCTGAGATTTCTGGGCACCACACAGCCTGGCCAAGGCAACGTCCAGCCTCTTTTAAACACCCCCTGTGACACGGCACACACACAGCCTAGAGCAGTCCACCGTGACCATGACTGAGATTCTCCTTCCACCGAATGTGCATCTGCCTGGGCCTGGGTCCTGCCCAGGACAGAATCACGGGTCCTGCTCTATCTTCCCAGGCCTGTTAATCCCTGTTCAATATTATGGCCTCTTACATAACAGAAGACAGTTTTCTTGCATTTTCCCTTCAAAGACTGTGTTCCCTCCAGTTCTGACAAGCATTCCTCATGTGACTTACTTTGAGTTATCTGAGCACACCATCGTTCTCCCTGGAATGTGGCCCCATTTGCCCGTGTCCCTGTTGAGGTGCGGCCCGGACGAGAAGCAGTTCTCTGAGCGCGGGCTGGCCGACAAGTGCAGCCAGGTGAGGTCGGGCCTGCTCCCATTACAGATGTCGGTCCCCTTATGCTTCATTCCAAGCAGGGGTTCTATGCTCCCCACCGATCCTGCTGGGGAGCATATTGTCATCCGAAATCAGCCAAAGAACACACAGTCAGATTCATGGGTTTGTTTCACTCTAGAGCAGCAGGTGGCCAAGAGGGAGGAGGGGAGCATCATCCAGAAGGGTGGTGACCCTGAAGAGTCCCGGGAGGGCCACAGGGGAACCTGGACCTGTGGTGGATGGGTTGCTTTCTGGGGTGAGATCAGCAGAAGTGGTGGGCTGGGGTGCAGTCACGAGGTGAGGGCGGCCTGGCAATTGGGTGCCCTCGGTACCGGATGGGTTTAGCGAGGTGGCTCTGGGACACCATTGGTCACTCATTTTACAGCCACTGCGTGGCTTTGGAGAAACAAGGTCTCCCGTTAACTCTGCAGCTGATTTTATCTGTGTCCCTCCAGCCTGATTAACTATAGGAATCCTTTTTAATTATTCAGGCCGAGCTGACGTCACTCTTTCAATCCAGATGGTTGTTTATTCTTTCAGGATCTTTGTGGATTCTAGGAGCTTTAGGAGGCAGCATATTCCCACATTCAATCATGTGGCGGTTACCAACGAGATGCCCATGTGAATCACGCAGGCCCTGTGACTGTCCTTGAACTGACCTTCTTCTTTACTCTTCCCACTGTCGTTCTTATTCAGACCCCCACCTGGACTGTGCTGCCAACCTCCAAGTGCCTCCAGACCGCTTGTGGACCCCAGGTCCGTCCATCCAACTGTCTGCGAGAATGGCCCACTGGGGCGTCCAACAGGCGCCAGAGATGCAACGCGCCCAGACTCAACGGCCTTGTCTCCGCCCCCACCTTGGTCCTGCCCTCTAGTTGCTATGGGTGCGTTGTACCTCCAACCACCAAGTCATCCAAACCAAACAACCAGGCGTCCCTGTCACCCAAGATGCCTCCCTCACCCATGCACCTACCTGGTTTCAGTCACCTGTCACTTCTTCCCAAATATCTTTCAAATCTGCTTCTCTTCTCCCTTTTGTGGGTCCTCTGATCTTTTGCTTGGGTTCGTGCAAAAGCCTTCTTACCCATCTCCCCGTTCCAGTCCCTTCTCCCTCTACCCCGCTGGATGCCCTGCTGCCAGAGGGAAACTTTTAAAATGCAAATCTGATCCTCTGCCTCCCTACATAACATCCTTTAATAGCATCTCATAACCTAGTGTGAAATCTGAAATATCTTACACAGCACATAAGGCTTTGCATCTGATGGGGCCTGGTTTCTAGCACATTTTCGCTTGCACCCGGTGATCAAGCCACAAAGAACCACCAGCAGCTCCCTGGACTGGCTGCCCTGTGTCCTGTCTGACCTGTGGACAGGCCGTTTCCACTGTCTGGGATGTCAGAAATATTAACGGCAAGAATACTAACTGCTCCATTTACTGATCACGCACCCCAGGCCAAGGCACTCTGCTCATGAATTCTTATGTGTCATCATAACAATTCTGTAAAACAGATACTAGCACGATGTCCATTTTACAGATGAAGAAACTGCAGCTTAAAAGAAGCAAAGAGGCCGGGGTGTCTGTGTACCTCATCGGTTAAGCACTTGACTCTTGATTCTGGCTCAGGTCATGATCTCACGGTTGGTGAGATCGAGCCCTGCGTTGGGCTCTATGCTGGTAGCATGGAGCCTGCTTGGGATTCTCTCTCTCTCTCTCTCTCTCTCTCTGCCCATCTCCCACTTGTGCTCTCTCTCTCTCTCTCTCTCTTTCTCAAAATAAATTAAAAACAAACAAAAAAGAATGGAAGAGCCTGACCCAAGGTCATACAGCAAATAAGTGTCAGGGCCAGGATAGGAATCCGGGTCTGCAATGAGTCTGATTCTACCGCATCTCCTCCGGCGTGTGCAATAAATTCCAGCCACGTTCTTAAACCCAACGGCTATATCTGTTCATGCCGAACCTTTCCCTGGCCTTCCCTTCACAAGAAGTTAGTTAATTCCCTCCCTCTTGCCATTGTGTCTTGCATATAACTGTGTCTGGCCATCTCCCCGCTGTACTGGGCCTGTGGGCAGTGCCTACCTGCACACACAACCCTCCCTTGTCTAAGCAGCTGTGCCCTATCCTGGGGGCCTATCCACAACCCAGGCTGCAGCTGACTGAGCGTGGGATGGACACCAAACCCCCCAGGATAGTCCGCAGGCTTGGAGTAGTGTTGTGATGCGTATGTTTATAGGTCAAAATCAAGAGCTTCTGGAACGCCGTGTAGGCCATGGACATGCTCCACCCCAGATCTCTTTCAAAGGGACCTACTGTGGGAAATGTAGACAGCCTCCAGTTGCTGCCTTTTGGATCCCACCATGGCGTTCAGATCTCTGCCAGTCTGCCTTCAACCAACCAGCACACTCAGGGTATTGCAGCGGTCCATTCCTGCCCCATATGGACCCCTCCAACGGGCAGCCTCGGCTTGGGAGGCTCTCTGTTGGCCCAGTCAAGACTTTCTGCCAACTGCCTTGAAGTCCGCTACTCTTCCTCCCACTTTCTTTTCACAGATGTCAGACTTGTGTCACCATCTGAGGACTCTCCCCACTGGCCCCTGCTCCTCCCTCCTGCATCTTCCATAGACATGTCCCCCAGTACATTTCTTGCACATTGTATTCTGTTTTGGAGTCTGCTTCTTGGGGGACCTAAAATGACATGGAGGGAAGAAATCATCTTTATACACCTGACACATGGCAAGTGCTGAATAAATGTTTACCGAAGAAAGGAAGAAATGAGCCACCTCCCTGACTCTGTGTCTCTACCACTTCCAGATCAATCTTCCTAGAGCATGACTTTGTGCATGGCACTTCCTTTCCTCCCCACAGGCAAAGTAATAGAGGATAAAAAGAAAAGATACAATGTTTTGGATTTTTTAATGTGCTAATGTATCGTAGTGATATTAATGATGTAGGATGCACTGTCTCTAATGACATTATGAGTTTTTAAAACAAAGAGAAATTCAAAATGGTAGAATGGCTTTTGACCACTGAGCAATGGAAATGGGTTTGGAAGTAGTCTTTAAAAATAGAAACTTTACGGGGCGCCTGGGTGGCTCAGTCGGTCGAGCGTCCGAGTTCGGCTCAGGTCATGATCTCACGGCTGGTGAGTTCGAGCCCCGCATCCGGCTCTGTGCTGACAGCTCAGAGCCTGGAGCCTGCTTCCGATTCTGCGTCTCCCTCTCTCTCTGCCCCTAACCCACTCGCATTCTGTCTCTGCCTCTTTCAAAAATAAATAAACATTAAAAAAAAAAAATAGAGGGGCACCTGGGTGGCGCAGTCGGTTAAGCGTCCGACTTCAGCCAGGTCACGATCTCGCGGTCCGGGAGTTCGAGCCCCACGTCAGGCTCTGGGCTGATGGCTCAGAGCCTGGAGCCTGTTTCCGATTCTGCGTCTCCCTCTCTCTCTGCCCCTCCCCCGTTCATGCTCTGTCTCTCTCTGTCCCAAAAATAAATAAACATTGAAAAAAAATTTAAAAAAAAAAATAGAAACTTTACTGGAGAGAAGATTCCACCCACCCCAACGTGACTCCTTTGGAAGTTCAATGTGTCCGGCTTGGGTGTCTGCTTTCTCCCCCAGAAGAGCTCAGAAACTTCGTCTATCCCCTGAGGCACCGGTTTTCCCCATCATTAATCTTTCAATCAGGATTCAGTGTCTTCCGTGGATACCCACTTCCTGTGGCAGGAAAGGTTGTCAACCATGCTCAACTCCAAGGCCCACTGTTCCGGTCATCATTTCTGAAGATGGCAGTCCCTCAATGGCAGCCTGTGCAATACACAAGCCCCGTGTGGATTCTCCTTCCCCAGGGCAGCCGTCAGGAAAACTTCCTTCTCCCCTAGACTCTACAGCTTGAAATCGACCCAAAACTATTCCTATGTGATCAGATGCTTGCTGCCTTCCCTGGCAAATTTCCTTGAAAAAGACTATTCATGTAGTGTTTTGGCATGAGAGTCCCAAGAAAGGGGTTATAATAAGCATCCTCTTGAAGACTTAAATACAGTCTCTGGTTCTGCAAATACCATAATGACAGACTTGCGTTCTCAGTCCTAGGAAATTCTGCGGGCACCAGAGCTCAGAAACGTCCTCGGCATGTAAGCTAGCTTTATTCTTATTTGTGTCTGGGATCCGAGGAGAAAATAAGGGGCTCCCAGAACCAGGTCACTCAACACTCTCGTGGAGGCAGAGGAAGGATCACCACGAGTGCATTTCTGTGATGGCAACTTGAGCGGAATGCATCTGTGTGGGTCGCTTGGGGCCCCTGGGCTGTAGGGCTCGGGGGCGTGTTTTCGATCTCGGTGGCCAAAAGCAGAAGCAGAGGGCAGGCGTGGACAGATGGGACAAAGCCTCCTTGCACACGCTGCCTGTGGTCAGAAATGCTCGTGGTTGCCGCCAGAACTGGATACATGATGGGCTCAGATGACATCAGAGGGTGACTGAGGGGTCGGAGCGCTAGCCCTGCCGAACCGCGAGCGCCAGGCTTCCTTGTGCGTGACACCCTCGGCCGTTCTCTCCTCTCCCTCTCTCCCTCTCAGTGGCTACCGTGGGCTCTAGCCAGCCGTTCCCGAGGCCCAAGGCTGGCTTGTTCTCGTGGGATCAACTCCAATACCTGCTTCAAGTCTTCCTATTCCTTTATCTCACAGAGCATACATTTGATTGAGGAATTCAAGGAAAAACACAAGTTTTTTAAAGCCTTGTATTTTTTATAGAAAAGAAGGAAGGGCCTAGTGAAAGGCGTTCTGCTGAGTCTTCTTATAAATCACACCCAGCGTGTAGAGCCAGCCTTTTCACACACCGAGCTCCCTAAGACGTGGGGAACATGGGAAGTTTGGGGTCCTTGGGAGCTACATTATCTTTCAGGATTGTTGCAGAGAGGGATGCAAAGTGGGTGGCCCGTGACTCTGGCTGTGGGAGGAACACTCCCGGGGGGGCCCTCGTGCTGGCACGAGTGCTGTCCTGGACAGTGGGGTGGGGTGGGATGAGGCAGGGCTCGAGTCCATTCTCTGCGATGTTACAGTCATGGTTGGAAGGTTCTAGGTTCCCCCGGAGCACCTGTTTCCCTGCGGGGCAACCAGGCTTGGGGCTGGCTTCCATGAAACTGCTGGGGCCTGACCTGGCTTTCCAGGCCTCACCAGAGGCATGGCCTGGTGGGGGCATGAGGCAGAGAAATCCCTCCCCTGGGCAGATTCTCCACAAGTGGCACCTTTGCCATCATTTTCACAAAGTGATATTGTGGCACAATGGTCGCTGAGACTAGGATGAAATTTCATTGCTGGAAGCAGGGGGGAAACTGAAGGTCAGCCTGATCTGTCAGCAATTACCATCTCGGTGGTTGCATGAGTCTAATCCAGCTGCTCTAACAAAATGCCACAGACTGGGAATTCTCACAGTTCTGGAGGCTAGAAGTCCAAGACCGAAGGGTTGGGGCCATTTCGGTTCCTGGTAGGATCTCTCTTCCTACCTTGCAGATGGGGCCATCTTCTTGTGCCCTCACAGAGCAGAGAGAGAGAGGAATCAAGCTCTTTGGTGTCTTTCCTCCTAAGGACGCCGATCCTCATAGATCAGGGTTCCACCCTTAGGACCTCGGGTAACATTAACTATCTCCTTATAGGTCCTGTCTCCAAATTACCTTGGGGACTAGGGTTTCAACATGAGGATTCTGAAGAACACAATTCAGCCCATAGCATGAGATGCTCAGGGAATATGATGCCCTTTGAGGTGTCCGTCGCCCTCTTCCTCTGGCCTACCCATGCTTCAGGCTCCTTTCTCCATTCTAGAACCTGGCTATGCTTCTGCCACACCACCGCGAGGGCAGGGTGACCCCTGAAGAGTGGTGCGGGAACACCTGCCGGGAGAGCTGCCTGGATAGCTGTCTGTCTGGTAAGCTCCCCCGCACCTCGCCGACACCCCCGTTTGTCTTCGGTGCCCCATCTCAGCCATTGGCCAGGCCCTGGGGGAGCCTGGGGGGAAGGGTAAAAGGAAGCAGAGTGACACATGTCATCTGTTGCTTAGCAGAAGCTGGAACCCACCTGGGGACAGAACACAGCCGCCTCACCGCGTCTGCCTGGGCGGGCTTCCTCATACATTTCATAGGTTAAACCATCGAAACATGGGGTCCTGTGCATTCCCGGCTGAGGACGTGGAGAAAGCTCATCATGTGTGAAGGCCAGATCCACCTGCTACATAAAAACAGGAGTGAAAAAAAAAAAAAAAAAAAAAAAAAAAAACAAAACAAAACAAAACAAAAAACCCCAAACCTTGCGATTTGCCCAGCACTGCAAATGGCTCAAATTACAGCTACAGAAAAGTCTCCAACCCCTGGAGACTTCCCTTTCCACCCCGGCAAGTGGTGCAGTCCCCACTGGCTCTCCTCCGTCTTCGCCCCCACCCCTGGCTGCCGCCCTTTCTCTGCCTTTGTTTTGTAGCAGCAAAAGGCAACGCCCTTCCAAAGCTCAGGGGACTTTCTTCCATTGTCACAGCATCCAGCCATGCCACTGGGGCTGCCCCCACTCCAGATTTATTCTTCTGGCCATGAGTCACTGCTACCATCTTGCCCCTCTGCTTCCTGCAAGCAGATAAGGCAAGGAAAAGGAAAGGAGGGGCCCCCGGCCAGCTCATGAGGCACCTTGTGGGCCTGGGTGGGCTACGGCCGTCGGGGTCTATGGGGGATGGAACCGGCAGTAAGGGGATCAGTCCTGCTGCCTGGAACAGGAACAAAACACCTGCCTCCATAGGATGGGAGGGTCAAACGGGGCCACACGGTCCCCTGGGTAGGGGACAAGGGAGTATCACTAACAGAGGATGGGATTTGGGCCCCACCAGGTCTGATTTTGAAGCCCGGATCCACTGCTTCTGGCGTCCTGGGCACGTTACCCAGCTTCTTGGAGGCTTAGTTTCCTCACCTGTATAACAGGGACCCCAACATCCTTCCTAGGATTATTAGCCTGCGGGCTAAAGCGCGTGACCCCTGCAAAGCTCCTAGAGCAGTGCCCAGCGTCAACCAGGAGCCGGGCACAGACTAGGTTTCCCCTTGCACAATCGTCCAATGCAAGGATGCTGTCCTCAGAGAGGTTTGGCCCAGTGTCCTGCCCTCTCCCACAGGCAGGCTGCCCGCACACAGAGGGAAGGCTCCTTGCTGGGAAACCGGAACAGCCGGTGGTGGGGGAACAGATGAGCCCGTGGCCCTGGACCAAGGGGGCCCGAAGCACACTCACTTGTTTTCTCTCTACACTGTGTTTGGCGATGATTTATTAGTGAATTCTCACATCTCAGGCTCGTGGCAAGAGTCCCCTTTTAAATTTTTTTTTTCAACGTTTATTTATTTATTTTTTGGGGGACAGAGAGAGACAGAGCATGAACGGGGGAGGGGCAGAGAGAGAGGGAGACACAGAATCGGAAACAGGTTCCAGGCTCTGAGCCATCAGCCCAGGGCCCGACGCGGGGCTCGAACCCACGGACCGCGAGATCATGACCTGGCTGAAGTCGGACGCTTAACCGACTGCGCCACCCAGGCGCCCCAAGAGTCCCCTTTTAAAGGCAGTCCTTATCATCATTCAGCTCCATTGTCATTATTCAATATCTATTACATTCAGGGCCTTCTTCCAGACACCATATATTTACTCCAGTCTGGAAAGCTGAAGGCTGGGAGGGGCTGCTCGAAGTGTCCACGACGCCCCAAAGGGCAGACAGGGCTCGGGCAGCAAGTCCTTGTCCCACACAATCTCAGCATCGGAATTTCGGAAGGGATTGGTGACATTGGAGCAAGGGGACTTTTAGGTCAAATGAAAGGAAATGCTATTCTGTTGCCAGCAAGTAATAAACCCACAGAATTCATTATCCAACGGGGAGTTGGGTAGAGGCCTAAAAGTACGTCAAAAGGAGTTTTAGGTAAATTCATGGTTGGCTGACCTCTGTGGGGGGTGTGCCGTGATCCTCTGAACTTGCCACCAGGAAGGACGGCCAGCGTTTGGCAAGGTCTAGAGAAGGCGAACTCTGTGCCCTTGGGCCTTGGGTTCTGGCCCATGCAGCAATCTCCATGCCCATGGGATCGTCCTGGGTTTCTCAGATTTGTGATTTTTCAGTGCTGCCCATCTGAACTGGGAGAGAAAGGAGGAGGCATTCCTGGAGAAAGTGGGGTGAGAATCTCCCAGGCAGAACACTGGACAGCAATTTTTTTTTTTCCTGCTTAAGCTTCCAAAGGCCTACACCCTTTTGAAACGGCAGCAAATTTCACAAGAGCACAGAACATTTGCATTGGAAGGGAGCGGCTGGACCATTTCACCTACTGCAGTTTCTGCCCTGAACGGTTTTGTGTACTAGCAATTAGATTCAGAAATAGAAACAGTGACGGTGCTAGAAATGCACTTGCTGAGCTGTGTGTCTTTGATGCAAAAAAAAGTCTTTGTACCTAACAACTGAGCTTTTGCTCATTTACGCAACCAATTTGTTGAGCACCAGCTCTGAGCCATGATCTTAGGATCCAAGGACGGAGAAGACAAAACACCTCTCAGCCTCCTGAGAGTTTAGCCAGTGGCGAAAACAGCCCAATAGTTCTGCTACTGTGGGTGTTATGGGAGCAGGGAAACAGGGGTCCGTCTGCACCTGGAGAAGTCAGGATGTGAAGGACAGCCAAGAGCTCCCCCGTGGCAATGAAAACAGGCAGAGAGGGGTTTCCGCAGACCAGGGAGTGTGAAACAGTTGGAGAAGAGCTGGAATTCACTCAGGCTGCCTGAGATAAAGGGGGCAGGAGGCGAGTCTGGAACGTAAGACAAAGAACATAAGACAAACACGGGCATTGAGGGTGGTGGTCCAAGCTAAGGCGCGGGGCGCTGGTCATGGAAGGGAAGCTGGAATGAGGTATAATCAGTTTCTCATTGTAGGGAGATGATCCGGGGGTATGTTGGGGGGGGGGCGAAACTCTAAACAAGCACATGAGTCAGGTGACTCTCCCCACATCCAGGAGACCACGACTGGGGACTACAGCAAAGTCCTGAGGTTATTCAAAAGGTGGGGCCAATGGCTCTTGCTGCTAGAGGCACATGGCAAAGGGAGAAAAGAGGAGGGTCGGGGATGACCTCTTGGTTTCTTTGAGTGGATGGAGGTACCATTCATTGGATGGTAGCTGGGTGCTAAAGGGAGAATGTCACACTGAAAATAACGAGTAAGTTTTGGATAGACTGCACTTGATTTTTGTATGAGGCAGCCAAACAGAGATAGCCAGCAGGCTGTGTATCTCAAGATCCAAGCTCTGCAGAAGGGTGGGGTCTGGAGATGTCAGGACGCAGGGACATCAGTAGGAGGTGAAAGCTTGCTAAGGGAGGACCCAAGCAGGAACAGAGGAGCACACGGAGGGCTCCACCACAGAATGGCCCCGGGCAGAGGAAAAGAAGCCTACCAAGGAGAGCAAGCCAAGGAGGTGGGAGGAGAAGGGCTTACTGGAAAAACAAAGGAGGCAGGAAGGAGCCGCACCTGAAACTTCTCTGTTGAAATTCACGGTGCTTCTTTTTTTTTTTTTTTTTTTAAGGGAACGGAGTTTTGCAGCATTGTTTTAAAATTGAAGTACAACTTACATACAGTAAAGAACACAAAGAGTATATGGTTTGATGCATTTTTCCATACGTATACACCCATGAATCTACTACTCCAACTCTGGAGAATATTTCCGGCTTGCTCTAGAAGGTTCTCTTGTGGCCCACGTAGGCTGTGCCTCATCGCAAAATAATCTTTCATTCTGACCTCTGCAGTTATGCACCTTTGCCTGCTCTTGGTCCTACGGATGGGATCACGTGGTGTATGTCCTTTTGCAATGCAGTTGCTTTCTCTCAACAATACGTTTCTTGTGACGGGCAATGGTTAGGAAGTTCTTTTTTTGTTGCTGGGAAGTATTCCATTATGTAAATATGAGCTGTCCACCATGGTGTTTCTATCTGTTGATAGATCCCAGTTTGGCTACTGGTTTACTATAGTTTGGGACTCCTGGGAAGAGCGCTGCCATGAACATTCCTGTGTGTGTGTGGTGGGGCCCCAGCACGCCCGAGAGTGGCACCGTAGGGCCACAGGGTAGACGTCTGTTCAGCTTTAGCAGATGCTGCCGAGGTATTTGGGCCAACTTACATCCCCACTCACAACGTAGGAGTGCTCCGCTCCACAGTATTTTAAAATAAAACACGATTCTATGAGGAACGCTTAAAACACTGAAAAAAGCAACTGCTTTCAAGAACCTCAACACATCGGACATATCTATCGATCCGTTAACAATGACTATGTAACACATCCCTCCTCAATCCTCTAAGACTTCCGTTATAGAACCCCTAGTCGGCCTAGTTTGAGTTAAGGTAAATTTGTGTATATAAAATAAGTGAATTTCTTTATAAGTAATTTTATCACGTACAATTGTCACTAATTTAAAAAGTCTTTCTCGGGGTGCCTGGGTGGCTTATTCGGTTCAGCTTCCGACTCTTGATTTCAGCTCAGGTCATGATCTCACAGTTTGTGAGATCGAGCCCCACATCGGGCTCTGTGCTGACAGTGCTGAGCCTGCTTGGGATTCTCTCTCTCCCTCTCTGGTCTTACCCTGCTTGCGCGCTCTCTCTCAAAAGAAACGAACTTAAAAGAAAGAAAGGCTTTCTCACCTTACACCCAGATTCATGAGATTTTATTCTAATAGTTATGGATCTGATTTTTCCCAGGAGCTGGCAGAACTGCCTTAGCCTAACAACATGGCATATGTATCTTGGATGTCACGGGAGTCAGCATTAATTCAATTATGTATTCATTTTTTTCACTGTGTAAATATATGGTGAGCAGTCACTGGGTCAGGCACGTCCTACGCACTGGGGGTGGGTGGGATGGGGGAAATAAAGAATCATCACTTAGGACTTCTGCCCTCAAAGAACTTAGTCTAAAAGAAGATATGGATACAAAGAGCCCTAACGCAGAGTAGAAAGTTAACCAACTTCATTTCCTGCAGGGCAGGGTGGGGCCAGCTTAGGTGAAACTGTAGCAAAAAAAACCTGCCATTTACTACATTCACCTGTTTTCTGTCTGGCTGGAGATGACACATCGTCTCGGGGTGAGATTTTGCTCTCAAGTCGCTGGACTATACCCTCCAGGTAAGCCTCACAGACATCCATTACCTAGAAGGCAAAGAAGGGACAGAAACCCCTGGGCGACAAAGCCTGCCCTTTTAAATACCCGTAGCAAGAAAATGGGCCAAATTGCTTGAAGTCAAGGAACCTCTTGGAACCTAGAAGTCCTAGCCCCTGACATGTTTATCATCTTTCTAGTTATTGAGATGGTTCTAAGTGGTGTTAGCTGTCAGGAAAGGGCCCAAAAGCTCCCCAGAGAAACTCATTAAATTCAGGGCTTGGACCTAGATAGTTGACACAGGAGTGCTGACTCCCACACAGTAAGCACCTGGGAGAGAAGCCTCTCTGTCTGGACCCACCATGGTTGCACAAAGAGCCTACTTTGGGAACGGAGGCTGAATATGTGAGTGTGACCTTGGAATCCAAGCATAGAGCATCTTCAGCTGAATATAACTCAGGAGAGAGTGGGATGTGAACATCTAAAAGCTGAGTTCCTATTCACACTTCAAGCTGCTGAAGACTTTCATACCAATTGTAGGCTTAGCAGATATCGTTGGTTATTATAACACTCTTTGCATCCCATATTGTCTGCAGATCCCTTTACTATTCCTGTGCACATGGGCTTCTGTGGCCTCTTCCTAAGGGAAGAGAAAATTGTCAGGGAAAATGGACCGCTCTGTGGATTCCGCCTCTGAGTTCATCTAAGTTCCTTGCCTACTTTAACTCTTAGGAGTGGGTCACTGCAGAGTTCTTCTGTGGGGTCAGACAAGCTCAGCGAGAGAGCAGGCGAGGAGGAGAGCACAGCCCATAGTAAAGAATATGGGCCACGCTTACCTGAGCATTTTGTCCATGGGCTGGAAAGACAGTACAGTGACTCTGGGCACCTCAACATGCCTACCTCTTAGACTGGTGTTGTACCAATCTCGGCTGCTGCCCTCCATGGCTGGTGTGCAATGTCCTCCTGGGATCTTTTCTCTCCCTTCTCCTGCGAATTCCCTTTACTTCTCTCCAGGGTATTGAAACTTCTGTTCCTGTTATATCTTTCCCTTTCTCGAGAAAGGCTGCCTGGGAAATACATTCTTGAGACTTTGCATGTCTGAAAATATCTTTATTCTATCTTTGGGCTTTTTTTTTTTTCTTGGTAATTTGGCTGGGTATGGAACTCTAGGTTAGAGAGCATTTCCTTTCAGAATTTGGAATGTGTTGCCCCATTTTCTTTCTCATTTCCAGTGATGCTCTTGAGAAGTCCAAAACCATTCTCATTTCTGACTCTCGCATGTGACTTATTTCTTTCTCTAGAATCTCGTAAACACTATTTCCTCCAAGTTTTGGAAAATTTCCAATGACATGCCTCAGTGTGAATCTATTTTCATTCACGGTGACCCAACATTTGATGTATTCTTTGAAGCTGAAAACATGTGTCTTTTTTTAATCTCTTGGAAAATTGGGGAAATAATTTCATTTGGAATTAATTCCTTTCTGCCTTCTGTTCTCTTCTCTCTCACTCTCTGGAACTCCTCTTATTTACAAACTGGAGTTCTTGAACTAGTCTTTTAATTTTGCTTTCTTTTCTGATTTTTTTAAATCTCTTTGATTTTTTGCTATACTTCCTGAGAGATTCGCTGTTGAATTTTTCATCTCTGCTGTTTTTAATTTCCAAGAATTTCATCTTGGCTTCTGAATGATCCTTTTTTGTTTCACCCTGTTCTTTTTTCTTGGATGCAGTATCTTCTGTCCGTAAAGACGTGATAAATGTAACATTAATTCTCCTCTCCTCCCATGTTCTCACATCTCCCTGCATACTGCTTCATTTGTTTGTTGTTTGTTTTTGGTATTTATTTTCCACATAGTCAGCTCTCCTTAGATGTTCAGTAGCAGTGGGATATCCAATTGTGACTAAGAGTATGGATCTAGTTATCTGATTGGGAACCATAAGCTCATTTAAAACTCTGGGCAAGTGAGCGGAGCTTTGGACTTTGTATTGTGATGTAGGATTTTGGAGAACCTCC